TTCTTGAATTAAATATAAATATGCGAAATCGTTGATTTTGTATGGGAAATGGGTGGCCCCCACTAGGGTGGCCCCAGTAAGGGTGTTTCGACTTAATAACCTGCTGACATATTTCATCACTGCTTTACGATTAGGGGATTGCTTTTCCATAAGCCTAAAGCGGAACGTGAGCGAAATCTAAAATAAGACAATTTTACATACCTTAGGATGCAGATCTGTAGCTTCAAATGTGAGTTTCCTACGATTCCAATGAGTGACGGTACCAGATGTATGTAGTAAAATATATTAGTGAATATGTTATAAAAATGTATGAATTGATTTGGACTTGGTGAGACGTTTGGAAGTGCTAGTTTCTATATTTAATTGTCACCATATTGCTGTGACGTCATCGCATTGATTCCGGTAAAGATATCACTCCGAGAAACAAAGCCCACAATTTTGGGTGATCCTATGAGGCGAGAGGAACTGGGGATTCAATACCTTGCCGGTGAACTAAACGAGCCGAAGACCGACACAAGAAGCTTCAAAACTAGAAAGTTTCAGCAAACCAAATCATTCTTAGAAATAATTGTCTAGTTTTACTGTTAGTTAGTTAACTACGTGTTTTTATAAGTAACTAATGGCTATTATTGAAGTTCAAGTCGTCTTCGACTTCCTTTGCGCGGTACGTACATCACACATAAATCACGAATCCTTTGGGTGTCGCTGATCGACAAAGTACCTGGAGATCTTGCATTAGACTATAAATACTGCTAATACTGCTAACACTAAGGATTAGTGGTGCTACATAGGTAAGCGCAACCTCGACCGCGCCATTTCCCTATACCAGAAGACGTACCCTGGCGGCAGATCGGATATTTTCTCTATAACATGGTCGCCCTACTATCTCGAGTACAACAAGGCGCAGCAGAGTGTTGACAAAACGGAACTCACCGAAACGCGCCTTGCGCACTTAACACCTAAGCAGCGCGCGGCGCTTACGCTACATATGAACCGGGCCGGCCGCGCTGCCGGGATCAACTTCATGTGGGGCGGTAGGATCGGCCCCGATACGCGGGAAGCCCACCGGCTCATCCGACTAGGCTCCATTAAAAGCAGCGAAATACGCGATGCAATTGTCGAAGGTCTTTTAGATGCATATCAAGCACGCGAACAGGATATCTCGGAACGCGGGGTTTTAAGAGCTGTTGCAGTCAAGGCCGGCATAGATGGCACCGAAGTAGATGCGTGGCTAGATTCCGACGCTGATGCAAACGTGGTGGACAAGGAGGCTAGGAAAAACAAGGAGATTTTTGGTGGGTCGGGTGTTCCGGCATTCGTCGTTCAAGGGGTGCATCGCCTTGGCGGTGTGCAGGATCCTATGGACCTAGTTGAGGTCTTCATCAAAGTTAAGGAGGGGCAGTGACTGGAGGATGATTGAAGGGTTGGGGTAGTTGACTATACTTGTACACTAGACTTTATTGAAAATGTGTAATAAATATGCTTGATTAACTAATGGGAAAAACTAATTCAGTGCCTAGTACTTGATTGTTATCTCCTCGAGCTCCAGAGTGTGAAAAAGGACATTCAATGTTTGAACTGATTTGGGGTTCATAATATAGACGAGATTCCTCCGTAGGGAGTTGATACTTCAATTGATATAGCTACCTACCTAGGTATTCACTTAATACCAAAGCCTTTGTCACATACCTAAATAGTCGTATAGGTTGCCTCGAATAGTAGGTCCTTCTAAAATCTCTCCCAATGTTTAGTTATTAAGCATGGTTGGTAGATATTGTTATGTTAAGTACAGCTCACTAACGCCTTAGACACCAGGTTCCCTGTATCACCAGGTGTCAACTTCACCTTCAACTAGACGATGCATTCCTATTATGCCGTGAGTCTCGCCTTACTCCTATTAAGTAACCGCGTTTATGTCTACTGTTCTCATAGGTCTTGTTAGATATCCGTAGCCTAGGTAAACAATCGCGTCGTAGATTATCTTTTTCCATCTGATTCACAATCTTTTACAGGAGCTTCCCTACGCATACTCGGTGGCTACCCCTTTATAAAAAGCGGTCGTACAATGGACATTTACCTGCTACTCTACCCTCTACCCATTATAATACTCTTTAGGATGACATGTTCGTCAATCGTTATAGGCTTACCTATCTCAACTCTTCTCTCGCCTACCGCACTCCTGAAAACAACGTATCTATCTCTACCATGGCCTCTTCTAGTTTTATTCGCTACACATCTGAAGAGTTGCTCGGTATTTTCCATCGCCATGCATCCAACTCTGGACATGTTCCTACGATATTTCTCTGGCATGAAGTAGATTGGCATGGGCTTCTTTCCAAACCTGTAACAGGATGCTGGCTTGCGTCTCGGGAGCTAGAGATTACGTATGACTTAGAAGGCCATATTGAAAAGCGTAACGACTGGATAGTTATTCTCGAACTTCTTCATGCTGACAATATCACTATCGAACTAAAACAGGCTGATGCTTGTGGCAATACCATTACCGTTTGCCGAAAAGGGGCACCTATGCGCATAGCGGAGAGGAATCAAGACGAATTTGAGCTTCTCGAGGGTTATGCCTGCAGCTTTAGGAACGAAGTCAATACATATACCAAGGCTAAGGACTGGTTAGATCAGTTGGAGAAGTCTGGGGTAACTCGATATCAACTCCAACAAGGTCGAGGTAAGGATATAATCTGCATCTTGCCGTGAAATAAGCTATCCAGGATATAATACTAATTATTTTATGATAATATAGGCCGCCGTTACTGGGTTGACGCTGTACTCCGCCAGTTTTATAGGTTCCATAAAGGCGAGCTCCCCAGTCTCGACCAAACCGAGATGGTACACGTCTGGGAGTCTGGCCAAGAGGTAGAGGTGCCAAGGAGCGCTCGGTCTATCGTTGCTGGCCAATTCCTCTCTACGAAGTGGCCGAAGAGCTCTCATCTCTATCAAGCCCACTCTCTTCTGAGCTCGACCGAAGACCTCCCTAGCTCTCTACCTGACCCATCTTTGGGACCCTGGCGATTTCAAGGAACCAAGTTTGATATACAATCTTGGTTTAAGAAAGATGGCCAGAATTCGCAATCCGTGTCTGCCCAATCGAGTACGCCATCTGAGTCTCAACCCCGACCGGAGCATCACATGAGAGATTGGCGAAGACAAGAAGCTGGTGGTACCCCGTCTTGGTATATATTTCCCAAAACCTATTAATGGAAAGCTTCCAAGTCACGTATAGCATTTTGTAGTGCATATTTAACTTATATACTGATATATGAATAAATATGAGATATCTACAGACTAAGACTACTTGGAAGCGTCACGAGGTATGTGAACTATGAGAATTTATTTAGAAATCTACTTCTTTTAGCGGTGACCTAAGATGTAACCCAGGATATCAGATTGGGTGGTTATATTCTCGGGTAAATGTGAAAGGTAAGGACATTATCGAGGCTCTAATACCGGCCGTACGGGACGGTTGCCGCCTATTTATTCCACGAGGTGCTTCACTGCAAGGCACTCCGCACACTATTAATCTCTCTAAATATGGCCAGTTTAGCGTTCTGCGGGGAATCTCTAGCATATTTGCGAATTCCCCCATCTTGGGATTTTCCATCACATTTCTCCAAATTATCCGCCAACCCACTTCCACCATTTTGAGCTTCTCTACCTCTCCAAGCGTGGATCCTCGACCCCAATGCGGAGTATTATTTACATACGCTATAGCCAGTTCAGGCACCTTCGTACTTGGCAATCAATACAATCTTAGGTAGTATCCCCGTTATGAATGGCGTTACTACGTAAAAATTATGCAAACGGGCTTGGTGGGACCGAGAGGTCTTTTCCGCCTTCACGATGGTTCGGCTGTGGGCCGGGGCAGTTCGCTCTAATCCTGCCGAGACCAAACAGCTGGGAATTGTATATATATATATGTTCTATGATCCGTTATATGGTTGCGATCTTTTGTGCGCTCGTGAGTTATGAGGCGTACTTGAGACGTTTGTATACCCTTTGGCTTAACGTTGCCTATTCCCTAGGGCAGACCTCTCTAGAACCGGGCTAAATGGGTATATTCTGCTATGCGCTTACAATCCCTAAGATGTCAATTGCTGTCCGTAGCGGCTGGGTTCGCGCCCTCCACTAACGCCCTCGGACAGCAGCAGATAATCAGCTTCACGAGTAGCGAGGGTGCTTTCCAATTAGTTGGTGGGCCGATTTCCCAGCCTCAGATCCTGGTTTCAAACAATGAATATTGGGGAGTCATTCGTGCTGCGGGCGATCTCGCTAAGGACTTTGGTCGAGTGACGGGAACCAACTTCACATTAAGCAACGGGGAATCTGGTGCTGAACCGGCATCATACGAATACAGGCCAATCACGCGAAATTACACACATGTAAGTAAACCTCAGAACTCTTTATTACATGGAATATGCGATCAGTAGAAACATTAGCAACTTTTGAACTTCAGTATCTCTGCCTCATAAACCTTTGCGTAGTGATATATGTGGGATCTTCCTAGCAATCACCTATTAACATATATGACCTAGTATGCGGTTAATGATACGCAATACTTCCGCGGTCCCGAATATGTCGATCCGTCGGCTGAAAGCACCGTCATAATTGTTGGCACGCTGGGACATTCTAAAGCAATTGACGAATTGGTTAGTGCTGGGAAGCTGAATGTCTCGGATATCGAAGGAAAGTGGGAATCATTCACGACTAAAATTGTCGAAGATCCAGTTGCCGGATGCTCAAAGGCAGTTGTCATAGCAGGAAGCGACCCACGTGGAACTATCTTCGGCATATACGATATCAGCGAGCAGATCGGCGTGAGTCCGTGGTATTGGTGGGCCGATGTCCCCATCAAGCAGTCGAAGGAAATATACATTCTACCAGATGATAAAGTCCAAGGGCCCCCTTCGGTCAAGTATCGTGGCTTTTTCATCAACGATGAGCAGCCTGGATTATCAGGATGGGTCCAATGGAACTACCCCGATACCCCCTATGGGGTTGGTTATAACGCCGACTTTTACTCAAACGTATTTGAGCTCCTCCTTCGACTACGGGCGAACTACCTATGGCCTGCCCTCTGGGGCACCATGTTCGAGATTGATGATCCAGCGAATCAGCCATTAGCTGACGCGTGGGAAATCGTGCTTGGGAGTTCGCATACGGAGCCGATGATGCGCGCACAGAATGAATTCGGCACGTTCTACACTAGCAAAGGCCTAGGTCCCTGGGCGTATAATCTAAATAACAAAACGATCGATGAGTACTTCGTTTACGGAGCGGAACGTGCGAAACCTTATGCGCGCAATAGTCTATGGACCATGGGCATGCGGGGATCTGGCGACACGGCTATTGAAGGGCTGGGCGTCGAAGTGATCGTCGAGATGCTAGAGACTCTTGTTCACAACCAACGGACCATCATTGAAGACGTGCTAGATATCAAAGCCGCAGAGGCACCTCAGCTATGGTGCCTGTATAAAGAAGTCATGTCGTATATCCTCCAAGGCCTTACGATTCCGGAGGATATTACCCTTCTATGGGCGGATGACAATTGGGGTAATGTTCGGAGAGTGCCTATCGACAACGAGACGACGCGATCCGGAGGAGCTGGTGTATATTATCACTTTGATTACGTTGGCGACACTAGAAATTACAAATGGATAAACACCATCCAACTGGAAAAGACTGCAGAGCAGATGCAGCTTGCATATTCCCACGGTGCTGATAGGATATGGATTGTCAATGTTGGAGACCTAAAACCCTTAGAAATCCCACTCAGTCACTTCTTAGACATGGCATATGATATCAATCAGTGGGATGTAGACGGGGTGGCTAACTGGACACTTGCTTGGGCGACTCGCGAATTCGGGCCAGATCATGCCACGACTATCACGGAGATCATGACACGCTTCGGCATGCTTGCCGCAAGAAGGAAATTCGAATTGGTGGAGCCATACGTATATTCAGTCGTCAATTATAACGAAGGCGATGCGGTATTGGGTCAATGGCAAGGTCTGGCTGACGATGCGCAAGCCATCTACGAGCAGTTAGATGAAGCCCACCAGCGGGCGTTCTTTGAGATGGTTCTGCACCCTATTCTCGGTGGCCAAATCGTTCACCAAGTCCATATCGGTGCGGAAAAGAACATGGTTTATGCAAACCAACACCGAAACGCGGCGAACGATCTTATTTCCCAAGTCCTATCTAGCTTTAATGCCGACGGCAGCCTTACGGCAAGATGGGATAGCCTATTAGATGGGAAGTGGAAGCGTATGCTGGATCGTAAGTCGAGTCACCTTAAATTGCTCAAATGTTCTTTACTAATTCTATAGAAACTCACTTTGGATATGATGGTTACTGGCAACAGCCGATGCGGAATGTCCTTCCGGCCATGGCTTACGTCCAGACTGCAGTATCTTCGATAGCAGGTAACGTCGGCATCGCCGTAGAAGGGTTGAACGCTAGCATTCCTGGTGATGATAAATATCATAGTAACTCGGGCAATACTCTTGTGCTTCCACCATTAGACCCTTACGGACCTGCAGCGCGGTGGTTTGATGTATTCTCACGAGGCACGTTGAACTGCGACTGGTCGGCCGAAACGGATATTCCTTGGGTTAAACTGTCACAATACAAAGGAACAGTAGGTCCTGATAATGGCACGGATTCTCGCGTTTTCGTTTTGATAGACTGGGAGAACGCACCGCAAATCGTCAACGACACCGTGGCCAATATCAACTTCTCGGCGGGCTGCGGCCGCGAAGGCTTTTCAAGCTGGTACGGCAAACCGATCGTACAGCTTCCCATTAACCTACGTACGGTCCCATCAAATTTCACACAGGGATTTGTCGAGTCGGATAAGCACGTAGCCATCGAAGGGCCGAATTACCAACGCATCTACACGCCGCCCGATGTAGCGACGGACTCGGAGATAAAATATCATACGCTCAAGAACTACGGGCGCACGCTCGGCGGCGTAACTCTCTGGCCGCAGACTACGCCACCCCAAACCACCGAGTCGGCCCCGGCTCTCGAATACGACTTGTATCTATTTACCAACATCTCGAGAGCCAACGTAACGCTATACCTCTCGCCCACCCAAAACTACCTTTCCGACAAGACGCCCCTCGAGTTTGCCGTGTCTCTTTTCCCTGCGGGCGCAGAGCAGGCTGAGCCACAAGTTGTCCGCTTCGTAGGCGAGAGCATCGGAGCGGATATGCCTCCCGGTTGGGGACGCGCCGTCGCCGATGCTATCTGGGGACTCGCACCGAGTCATAACACTACGACGACTTGGAACGTCGCACAAGAAGGGCCATACACGCTCAGGGTTTGGGGACTAGCGCCGAGCGTCATCGTACAGAAGATCGTGCTTGATCTAGGCGGCGTACGACCCAGTTATCTCGGTCCTCCCGAGAATTTCCTTGTCGGGAGAGACGAGCTAGGTATTTACAATCAAACGAGCTTTGCAGATGGCCCAGGGGTTCTTGGCGGAGCTGCGAAGAGGTAAGGTAGGTAGCTGTGAACACATATACTATGTAATATGTATTAGTTATGTATATAGTGAAATTTTCGATTTCTACCTAGGTTACATATGTTAAGCTTGAATCTTAAATCTTAATAATCGTAAAATCTCATCTATCCTGCTCTAGATCTAATAAAAGAAGGCTATGCGATAGACTTTCATTTATCAGGGCAATGGACATGTATGTCTTCATAACTGGAGTGTAAGGGGTATGTACAATGGTGCCCACTGATACTTTTTTGTTTGCTTGTAGGGTAAAAAACGGGTGTAAATTAGATTTCTCAACGCTTACCTAAGTTCTTCCTAGCTCATACTTTTGCAAGCCTCAACTTTACCAGGGTTCTATACATATTTGATCATGCAATCCCCTTCCCTATTTTAATTCAGCTGAGTTGTCAGTGGATACTTTGTCTTAATGTTAACTTTATGCCAGTAAGGCCGGTTTTAATTGGCTTAGAGCCTGCTGAAACAAAAGTCCGGGGTGCGTAGGTCTATGTACCTAGCTAGCCTAAACCTTACGAATCATATGTCAGAAGTCTGTTTTTCTACCCCACTAATTTTATGGTTAGGGCTGCCACGCTTGCACACGCTTGCACAGTACAAACAAGGCGGATACCGGTTGCCCTGGTGAATTTTTAGAGCCCAAAATCAACATGGGTTCAACACATATTATTTAGCCACCTGCAACAATTTCCATCCACATTTTAGCTCCTGATGACGATATTTTTCGCGTGGACCTCCCACAACGCAACCTCTTACTACTAACTAAATCTAGCTCGACGACACCCATTAAGCAGGTGTATATACGCTCGTTAACCGATTTGAAATCTCGAAATCGCGACGAGTACTAATTTGTTTCTTACGGCAACCACATATGCTGCCTGTTTATTGACGTTGTTTATGTCGACACTCCTAGCTTAATTTCCAGACGACTTTACAAGGGAGGATAATTGAAATAAACAAAATAAAACTACCCAAGATGGCTGTGATAGACCCAGGAGCATCATCTATCACGGTCGCAGGTAAGATAGACTTGCCGTATAAAATAGTGAACTAATTGATGCTGACGTGTTAAAAGTTCGAGTCCGACCGTTTACCATCAGAGAAGCTGCACAACTGTACGCCAATTCCGGTCCCATATCACCGAGATAGACATGCTAACGTAGTAGTATAGACAAAAGAACGATGATGGCACATTATTTTTGGGGGATGGTTCTCTGGCTGCGGCTCCCACACCGAAACTCAAGCAAGGTGGCATACGATCCGTTATTAAAGTGGTCGATGACAGATGCTTGTAAGTATTCACGCAAGAGATGCCACATTCTATAGTAACTGACTTGCACGTATTGCAGAGTGTTTGACCCCCCAGAGGACAACCCAATACAAAAATTCTCGAGATCCGTGGTACCAAATGGCAAGAAAGTCAAAGATCAAGTCTTCGCTTTCGACCGCATATTCGACGAGAACACAACACAAACAGAAGTATACGAGGCTACGACGAAAAACTTACTAGACAGCGTCTTGGACGGTTATAATGCCACAGTATTTGCATATGGAGCTACGGGATGCGGCAAAACGCACACAATCACCGGTACGGCCCAGATGCCCGGCATCATATTCTTGACAATGCAGGAACTCTTCGAAAAGATTGCCGATCGTAGTGACGAAAAGCACACAGACATATCCTTGTCGTATTTAGAGATCTACAATGAAACCATTCGAGACTTGCTAGTCCCTGGAGGTAGCAAGCAAGGATTGATGCTCCGCGAGGACTCCAACCAAGCCGTAACTGTTTCAGGGCTGACGAGCCATCACCCCAAGGATGTTCAAGAGGTTATGGACATGATCGTTAAGGGGAACGAGTATCGAACGGTATCACCAACCGAGGCGAACGCCACTTCTTCACGATCTCACGCAGTCCTGCAGATCAACGTTGCCCAGAAAGACCGCAACGCTTCCGTCAACGAGCCTCATACGATGGCTACTCTGAGCATCATCGACCTCGCAGGTAGCGAGCGGGCTAGCGCCACCAAGAATCGAGGCGAGCGTCTGATAGAGGGTGCTAATATTAATAAGTCTTTGCTCGCACTGGGCAGCTGTATTAACGCACTCTGCGATCCCCGAAAGAAGAACCACGTCCCTTACAGGAACAGCAAACTGACGCGACTTCTTAAATTCTCGTTGGGCGGGAACTGCAAAACGGTCATGATCGTTTGTGTGAGTCCGTCGAGTGTACACTTCGACGAAACCCAGAATACGCTACGGTATGCCAACAGGGCAAAGAATATCCAAACCAAGGTGACACGAAACGTCTTCAATGTCAACCGACACGTCAAGGACTTCCTTGTGAAAATCGACGAGCAGATGGCGTTGATCAACGAGCTCAAAGCCCAGCAAAAAGATGCCGAGAAAACATTCTTTGCTAAGTTCCAGAAACAACTAGAGAAGAGGAACTGGTCGGTCAAGGAAGGAGTTCAGAGGATCCAGGCAGCATATGAGAACTCGTCCGTTGAAAGGCAAGAGAAGGTGAACCTAATGAAGAAGCAGAGAGGAGTCGAGCGTCGCATCGGTCTTTTGTCATCGTGGATCGCCGCATTCGACGCGGTTTGCGATATGAGAGAGGACGAGAATACAATGCCGTCGAGCCTTACCGCTATGCGCAAAACGGCGGTAGGAATTCAGCTAGAACTCGAGAATAGCCGGCAACATATTCACCAGAAGTTGAACAGAATGAATTGGGAGCGCGCTATCGACGGAGCTCTCCAGCATAGTATCAACCAACTACCGAAGGGAGACGTACATGTGGATAATGGCGAGATCGAAAGCCTCACTAGAGAAGCCGAACTATGGAAAGCCAAATTTGCGCGCGAAGCCGACCGCGAGGTTCTCGATCAGGATAAAGCCGGCGACTCGGGGATTATGCAAGTCCTTCTTACCGCGCAGTTTGACATCCTCGCCTCGCTATCAGAGACGGTAGATATGAGCGAGGATGAGACTGTTGCACATGCTAAAAGTATCATCAACCGTTTACTAGAGACAGGATTCGCGGCCGCCTCCCAAGTAGTTAAGCCGGACGGGGCCAAGATGCCGGTAGAGGCATTTCCACCAACGAAGCGCGGGACTCCGAAGCGGAAGAAGACGACGAGGATAAGCATGGGAAAAGACACGATAAAGCCAATCCCTAACCCAGCATTAGCAGCTGTCGCAGCCTCCCAGCCACAAATGTTCGGTTCTCCGGTCAAGGGTTCCCCCCGACGTCGTAAAGCGCTTAACGCGCGTAAAGGTGTCTCGTTCACTCCGGTCAAGAAGACTTCGAAGCGTGCGGTACGATGGCGCGACGACGACGGCGAATCGGGCACCCTAGCCGACTTCGAGAAGACACCCCAGAAGTTCTACTCTTCGCCGGAGCGTAGCTCACCTGAGAAGGCTGTACCTGCGATCCCCCCTATCCCGTTTTACTTACACAAAGATGACACTGCAGATGATTCCAGTACCGAGCTGACGATCCCCGAGACGACAAGCCTTCCGGTTGCGAAGCCTAACAGGTTCCAGGCAGGGTTTTTGTCGAAATCTCGTACGTCGGAAGTTAACGGCTCGCCCACCGGACCTACGATCTCTATAAACCTTACGTCCTCACCCGGCAGCGAGGGCCGGATTAGCCCACTGCGTAACCTTGACGTGTCGCGAGCTGGTAATATCAGCTCCCCTAAGATACGGTTATCTTCAAGTCCAAAATCATCCATACCAGTGCCTCAAAGTATGTCGTCAGACGAAAATCACCCTCCATCATCCGACTCGGAGACTTCGGCCATCATTGACACGTCTAAGCTTCGCTCGGCAATCCACGCCAACAAGAGACCAAAGCGGCTCTCTTCGCTAGCAGGAAGCGTGACGGGTCCGGCTGTGGTCTCTAGGCGAGTGTCCTCGATCGGATCTATCGGCGGCAACTACCATAAGACCAGCAACAGCTACGCAGGCCCCCCCTTAGCATCGAGCACGAACGGTATCTCGCGATTACGACGCGGCAGCGCGGAAAGATATAGGAGCCCTCCCATCAGCTGCTCGCCACCGGACATGGGAACCCGCGAGTCGAAAGCGTTCACACCGGGCCAGGCCAGACGGATGAATATAAGCAACAACGTAAGGGGTACGAGCGCACTGACCAGCCCGAGCGACAGGAGGTTGGAGGCTGCCAGCAACCGCGGGCGACGCATTACTATTGGTGGCGCGGGCATGGTGGCTGCAGGCGGTGCGAGAAGGGAGAGGGGAGCTATGTCTTGGCGATAAGTTGATTGTTCTATCCGTGAAGTTATTTGATTAAATAGGATCAGGCGTCGGGGCTCTTCGGGCGTATAGTTGCAGATGACCTTGCTGAGCAGATTGCACATATGCGTCCTTGTCCGTCTCATGGAAGGTTCAGGTCGAGACTGGCGTTTTTAGGTCCAATTCTCATACAAACATGATTATTCGGTTGGTTGGCTGGCTGCGGGGTTTAGGAGTGTCTTGGTCCCTTATATCTGATAGTTTTCATTTTGATAAGGGACCGAGGTTTCATGTCTTACGTTCGATAAGTAATGAATTCTGGTTATGCTCATGTTTAATTAGATGCGGCAGGGTGAGGTTGATGAGTGTATGTTTACTTGATCGGTGGAAGGGAGAAGGAGATGAGGTTTTAAGACCCGATGTAGATGTTCTTCGTTTATTGTCAGATCCAGCTTACTCAAATGATTGATGCGACGTCTAATATAAGTCAAACCACCCTTACTGGGGCCACCCTAATGGAGGCCACCCATTTCCCATACAAAATCAACAACTTCGCATGTCTATAATTAATTCAAGAAAATAAATAAAAATATATATGTTGGATTGACTATGTATTACGTAATAATATGAAAGGGAATGCAAATAACGATCGTGTTCTGATTGGTTGTTCTAAGGTAAGAGAGGAGGGGTTCCCCTGAGTGGGGAAAGATATTGTCAGATTAGTCAGCCATGTCAGGTGACCTGAAAATCCCTAGTCTTATGTAAAATAGCGGTGTAATATACGTTTCCACGATTTTACCTTAATGAATTAGATT